AATCAAATAAAATTAGTGGGTCTTCGTTGATCATGTCTCCCAACCTCCATATAAAGCCAAGAGTGATTAATCTTCAAATCGAATCTTGCCTCCTTAATCACCATGTGATGACAATGGCAATTACCTTGGTAAAATCTTCAAATATAAATCCATCAAATCTCATTTGACTTCATGCTCCAACCATGTCAATCAATGGATCTTCAAAATACTAATTTTAGTGATATGTTAAGATATTAATCTACTCAAGTGGTTTCTAGGATAATTAAGAAATTAGGTGGAAATTCCTAAAACCTTAACTAATGCTCGACGGTCGATCGTCCTTTAGAACGGTCTAGTAGGTCGACTGTTGATCGCATGCATGTATGTAGTTTCCTCCTGGTCCCACTGATTGTTGATCGTTGTTCATGAACGGTCAAAGGGATGGACCGCCGTTTGGCCCGGCATTAGGAACCGCAAATAAGTACATGAACGGTCAACCGTTGGGTAGTAACGGTCCACCAGGTTCGACCGCTATGCTCCGCTAGATTACATTACACGGTCGACCGTGTGATCCGAACATTCCAAAGACTCGACCTTGACTCGACCAATTTGCTTTTTTTGCCCATTTACCCTCTGTGTTTTCATGCTCCAATTTTAAAAAGGATATATTTCGTTGTCTTCTTGGGTTCGCCACCACCTGTATAAATCATTAGAAAAGAAATAAACGGTATCTCGCGTGTGTTGGAACCGCTCTTGTGGGCCTACATGTTCGTTCATGTCAAAAAGTTCATTTTCCGGATTCACATCATCCCTTCCTTCTTTGAAAAGATTCGCCCTTGAATCTGTAACAATGGATGGGATGCCGGGAATGCTTTTGGTTTCCGGTGCATCTTGCTCTTCCTCAAATGCAGCATCTTCATGTGCGTCAGGTACGTCTTCGTAATCGGTGTGCTTTCCTCTTCCTTCACTTCATCAAGCGCACTTACCTCTTCCATCAGAATTTGTTCATGTATGTATGCACTTTTCTGGTTCATCTATCTCATCCCCATCCTTAACCTCATAAATATTTGCTCTCGGATCTTGAAAACTAAGGAGTTGGCGTTCAACTACTTTTGGGGTAGTCGAAACTTGGCGTCTAGGTGGCCCGTAATACCAAGTGCTGGCAAAAGGGTCTCTTCGGTACAAATACCTTTATGCTTTTTTCGCTGCTTGCACCATTCTTCGAAAGAATCGAAATTCTACCCCCAAAACTGCATGTGAATAAAGCGAATGACACCTTTGCCTAACCTTTCTGCCATTGATTCTTCTGGCTCTTGGATCCTTGCCTTGGTCATTAACATCTCCATTTCTTGCCGGTATTCTTCAACACTTTGCATCGACTTTTGTCGTAATTCTTCAAGATGCCTTGGGTAATGAATATGACTTTGTTCAAGAGACTTTTTTAGCATTTACATGTCTCTACGAAGTGCGTTTATGTCCTTTCCCTCTTTTGTGAGTCCTTCTTGGAGCTCTACCTTGAACTCTGCTCTGAGTTCCGCCAATTGACAAACGATTTCTCTAAAAGTTTCTTGGGACAGTTTTTTGACAAATACAACTCACAACAATAAATAATAATAATAAAAAGAAATAAGTTTCTTGGGACATTTGTTTGACATTTTTTACGACATTTTTATACTTTTTTTCATTCTTACCACACTTTTTTTTACTTTTTTTTCACTTTTTTTAACGACTTTTTTCGGACTCTTTTTTATGATTTTTTTATCACACTCTTTTTTACTCTTTTGCTCAAACTAACAAAAATATCAAATGATAACAAAAAATGAAGTAAACAATACAACAATGACTCAAAGTAGAAGAAATGAAAGATACACTCTGTTTTTGTTGACATTTTTTTGCATTGTTTCTTTTTACAATAATTTGTTGAACTTTTTTCTCTTGTTTTTTTACACAAGGTAGAATACAAGAGTTAATGTAAAGATTAAGAAATGGTGATGGAGTGGTGAAAAAAAATAAAATGATGATAGAAACAAGATAAAATACATGTTCGGAAGGACTTAGGCTCCGTTCCGTTCAACTTATTTTTTCTGATCTGATTTGATTTTTTGTAGTTCTGATCTGATTTGATTAGATCTGATCTGATTTGATCGGATTTGATCTGGTGTGATTTGATTTGATCGAATTTGATCTGATCTGATCTGATTGGATCTAATCTAATCTGATTGAATCTGATCTGATCCGATCTGATATGATATAATGTAATAATATTTTTTCATTCATATTTTATAATGTAATAACTTTAGAAACTCAAATTACATGTAGCAATAAAAATATATTTTAGAAGTAGAATTCGATTGATATTGTCAATGTATTTTAAAAATAATTTTTCCGAAGTCTAATAATTAAGGATTACTTTCTTAGTTTTCTATTTAACTTGTTTCTAAAGTTTATTCTTTTTTCATTTTTAAGAAAAATTGTGCTTCATATCAATTTATTTTTCTCTACATAAATTATAATCGCACAAAATTTTCATTTTCTTTCTTCTTATATTTTTTCAAGAGAAATTAAATTTCTTTTTTGAGAGAATTGTATCAAGTGAAACAAGTAAAAATTATGGAATTTAAAAAGTATGGAGTAATAACGATAATGATGATGATGATGATAAAAATAATTCCTAATAATAATAAGAATAATTCTTAATTAGATCTTATCTGATTTGGTCTGATCTGATTGGATCTGATCTAATCTGATTAGATCTGATCTAATCTGATTAGATCTAATTTGATCAGATCTAATCTGATCTAATTAGATCTGATCTGGTCTGATTTTAATAAGAATTAGAAAAAAGCAGAAAAATAAGTTCAACGGAACGGTGCCTTAGCTCTGATACCAAATGATGCGCTTGAACCAGGTGGAAGGCGGGTCGTTTGTTTTTTCGCTAAATTCTTTTGTGTGAACATGCGTAGGGATAAGGTGATTTAGAGACTCACTAGTCTATAACTTTAGCACCTCCACGAGACACGCCGTGGCAACATTAAAGGTGTTGTTTTATAACTTGCACGTTGTCAAAATTCTCACGAATTTCTTGACCGACACACGATCAAAATAACTTACACAGGATTAGAAAACATACTCATATTTCATTCAAACTCAACATGCCTTACAAAGAGAAATACAAAGCCTATTTATAAGCATGATTAACTTAAGCTAAAAAAAATAAAATACTAAGCTTCGAGGAAATTACAATTAAGCATCTAGGAAATTTCCTAAGTCAAACTAAAATTCTAATCAAATAAAGTTAGTTGATCCTCTTTAATCATGTCTCCCAACCTCCATCAAATCTCTTTTGGCTTCATCCTCCAACCATGTAAATCAATGAGTCTTCAAAAGATTAATTTTAGAAATACGTTAGAATATTAATAAAGTCACTTGGTTGTTAGGATAGTTAGGAAATTCCTGAAACCCTAAGTAATGCGGGACGGTCGACCGTTCTTTAGAACGGCCTAGTAGGTTGACCGTTGATTGCATGCATGTACGTAGTTTCCTCCTGTGTCCCACTGACATTTGACCGTTTCCCATGGGGATGGACCGCCGTTTGGCCCGACATTAGGAATCTTAAACAAGTACCCGAACGGTCAATCGTTGGGTAGTAATGGTCCACTAGAGTAGCATGCTCCGCAAAGTACATTACACGGTCAACCGTGTGACCACAACGGTCCACTAACTCAACCGTGACTCGGTTTGTTTGCTCTCTTTTGCCCATTTGTCTTCTGGGTTCTAATTCTCCAATTTTCGCGAGGGTTTCTTTCATCGTCTTCTTGGGTTCGCCACATGGTATACATGTATAAAATCATTTGGAAAAGAAATACACAGGATCCGGCATGTGCCGGACCCGCTCTTGTGAGGTGGGACCCATGTGTTTGTTCATGTCAAAAAGTTCACTTTCCTGGCCTGATTCACATCAGAAGAATGACAAACCAACGTGGAAATAGGGCAAAACAATATAGCACTCTCTTAAGAACCCTCATGGTCAATTTCTTGAGTTGGAGCAAGAAACTTATATTGTGATAACATTCCTAAGGACATGGAGAATGATCTATTTGAGGAATGTTAGTCACACACAAAATGGCCAAAATAGAGACTAAAGACTTCGCTTCCAAAATGACCAAAACAAGAGGTTGCAACCCAAAGTTGAAAGAAAGTGTGCTAAGCCACATTTCAAGACACTGGTCGTCAAGCCTCCGTACAATGGAATGTATCATAACCACTAATGGCTTCAAGGTGCTTCTATTATATGGGCCCAGTTGAACCCACAAGGTCAGATGGAAAACATACCAAAAAAGTTCATGCAATACTAGAGGTACACTAAATGTGTGCCCTATTTGTACACATACACCCTCACACCACACATTCCTTATCTACTCTTCCATCTTGTTATCCACTCCTATAATTGTATGGTAGAGAAACTATAGTTTATATTACTTTTGGTGTACCCTTATCATTTTTCAAAGAATTATACCCCTATGTGCACTAATAGATTCAAATATAAATACCACCCGGGTTTCATACTTTGAAAATAGCCATTTCCTTTCGTTTTTCATTCTCTTTTCTTTGCAATTTCTTTCTTTTTTTCATTTTTCTTTTATTTGCAATGGTGTAAGAAAATAGTTTCGCTTAATAAAAAACATGAACAATTTTATTCAAATTCAAATTTAGGTGTTACACCTCGATAATTTTTAAGTAATTTACACAAATCTAGAAGAAATTAAACAGATCAGCATGCAATTCCAACACACTTGAATTAATGCCCGTTACTTAGAAATTCTACGAATCACGTTGTTCATTTATTAGTTCGAACATCCGCTTCTATGTCAAACTCTCTGGAGTGGTTGTCTCTCCCTCCAGGCTTTATTTGTGACACTTTACAACGTGATATTAATTAATGAAATACCGAATGATTTTCCAAAAAGAAAAAAAGAAAAGAAATACGAGTACTAACTACAATACTTAACAATGATCATAATTATAGTTTAAAAGTATTATTTTTAATGTTTCTATCATGATGTCTGAACATAGATTCATCATGCACAAGAACTATATAACTTGATCATCAAAACTTGTGAGAATTAGTCTGTAATACTCTGTAGCAATACTCTGTAACCTCTCACTTGATCACATACCATTTTGTTTTGGATGCTAGCTCAGCTAAGAATTAGTCTGTAACAAAGGGAAAAAAACCCTCACCAAATGAAGGTGCGGGAAGAAATCAAGAGAGCATGAACAATTTACGAATTGAGAGAGCATCAATGCATGTAAAAGCTCAAAACTTTAAGGCTCTGGTTCAATGACCACAGGTTGTTCTCCTTCAAGCTCTGAGATTACAATGAGCGAGTCACCAGGTTGAAGACAAATGGGCTCAGACTTGAGAATCGGATTGAGAACCTGCAATGATCAGATAAAGATGAGTATTAGTTTGAGGCCAAAGGCATCCTCCAATAAGCAAGCATGTATGCAAAAATTTACATTTTTGTTGCTCTTGACATATCCGATGGCAACTTCTCTTCGCAAATACGCTCTTTCAGCAAGCTCAGCAAAGGATGGATTCTCCCCTTCCTTCATGTAGAGACTGATATCCTAGAAGGGGCAGAAAAAACAATATCAAGTCAACAAAGGATCAAGGAATTACCGATATATGTTCTTGTGCATGCCCATTCAATATGGTGCATGCATGATTATAGAATACATCAGCATATGTTTTTCTAGGTGACCTACAAGTCTACAGCAATGTGGCTTAGAATGCCCCCAGACCTCAAGTTTAGGAATTGTACAAATCTCCACATCAGGTGTACAAAAACGCAAACAAAATTAACTTTCAGCATTTCTTAGAGTGTTTGGCTTGATGTACAAATACAAAGGTAAATCATAGTTAATGCTCGGGAACAGCTCCTTATTTTACATTTATGTAATGCACCAGAAGTTAATTTATGGGAATTTGGAATTACCTTTATCAATGCCATATTGACCACATTGAGAAGAAAAGCCCCATTGTGGTGTTAAGAATTCACGATAGGGCATATTGAAGATATCTAGTTCTTACACTGTCAAAGTAGACATTTAGTTTGTCTAGAATGTCGAGAAGTTTACCTTAACATATATTTCATCCCCCTCAGAATCCAAAATGTTTTTCCAGACTTCATTCAATTCACAATTTTCTGCAACTGGCAATTGATATGATTCAATCAATCGTGTTCGACACCTTACAAAAACAAAAATACAGGGGTACTTTTTAAACCTTGAGCTGTTACGAGGCTCATTACTTCCTCAGCTGCAATGTAAGTTAATGAAGGTCGGATCCTTGTAATCTATATGCAGCATCCGAAGCATATTAACTCCACATGATAATAAGGAAAAGAAAGGTATGAGTTAGCTGTGTGAAAAAAAAAGAAGCAGTACCTGTTTCCCAAACTTGGAATCAACAATTTCTGCAACCAGGTTTTGAACCTGTAATGTCACAAAACTGAAATTTTCAATCATCCAGTAGCATTAGTATTAGGTTGGATGCAAAATCTATTACGACTTGGTGCTCAATTCTAAAAGATCATATGTTACAAAGAGTAACCCAAGAATTTACTATCTGATAGACATATGAAATACCTCTTCCTCAAGTCAAAATTTTAAAAAATCAAACATGAAATTACTCCACAGCACACAAATCAGAGAATAAATCCCGGCAACAAAGAACACATCAGATTTGATTAAACGGAAAATCCAATAAACATTAAATCATGACTAGCATGATATTAGGAATAAGAGACTACTAATGATCTCTTACCTAGTTTACATGTTAGTATTATAGTATAAATAAGTGCCCTCATCTTAGAAAAGAGCATGTATTTGTGTTGGGTAAAATCGTTAGCTTTGCATTAAGGAAAAAATCACATTTCAAATTTCACGTTTCACATCGAATTGCTCATTTAATCTTAGACTTCAACAGAAATAATAATAATAATAATAATAATAATAATAATAATAATAATAATAACAATAATAATAATAATAATAATAATAAGCTTAATACTGATGATGATAATAAAAATAATAATAATAATAATAATAATAATAATAATAATAAATAATTCAATCAATCAAAAAATTCTAGCATTTTATAAAGGATGCCTTAGGTCCAATCTGATAATATTTTTAAGAGAGAAAAAACAAATTAGGAGGAAAGGAGATACTCCGTAAACCTTAGGTATTACCCAAGTTGTAGAGAGTAGAGATTAACCAACAGTCCCACCTCAGTTATCACGGCCAACAAATTTTAAAAAGACGGCTGGGCGATGCCAAAAGGATGACATGAAGGCCTACCGTGAAATAAGGCGAGGCACCAGACATGGTGTCTGGGCTGAACCACCATATCAATTCGGTGACACCATAAAAACTATGTATTTATTCGCTCCCCNTAAGGGAGCATGTAGTTGCAATCTTAGAGAGATAAGGAGCTGCAACACCAAAAAACTGAAGATTTGATGACCAAAGAGTTTGTGAGGGAAAGCACGAGTCCATGTGTCGTCCCTGCCTTGCTAGCACCAAAGAAGGATGGACCGATGAATAACATTACCATGTTGGTTATAAGTTTCATATGCCTAGGCTTGATGACATGCTACATGGCCTCCATGGTTTGCAAGTGTTCTCCAAGACTGATCTTAGAAGTGGTTATCATTAAGTGAGAGTTAGAAGGGGGTGAATGGAAGACAGCCTCCAAGAAAAAATATGGAGTCTATGAATAGTTAATAATGCCTTTTGGCCATACCCATACTAATGCCCCTAGCACTTTCTGAGGCTTATGACATATGGAGTAAGTGTTAAGACCCTTCTTGGGAAAGTTTTAAGTGGTTTACCTTGACGACATCCTGATTCATAGCAAAAGCCATGAGGGGCACTTAAAACATCTACAAGTGGTTAAAGTCTTGAGGCAGAAATTATATGGGAAGCTTGAGTGCACCTTCTTGCAAGATAGCTTGACGTGCCTTGGCTATGTGGTTGGCAAAAAAGGAATAAGTGTGAATCAATCCTGTGAAGCCGTTAAGAGTTGGCCTCAGCCTACCTAAAATAACAACAGAGGCAAGATCCTTTATGGGCTAGACTCTATCTATAGGAGGTTCACCTGCAACTCTGCCTCCATTGTTGCACTTATGACTGATTGTATTAAGAAGGGGAGGCTCGCATGGAGTGAAGAAGCTCACATTGCTTTTGAGCTAATCAAGACCAAGTTATGTGAAGCACCTGTCCTTGCTTTACCTAACTTCTACGGAGTAAGAGCTATTTGAGATTTTGAGGTAGTGCAGTGCAATTGGAGTGGGAATAGTGGTTGTTATGGTACAGAAGGGACAACCTATTGATTACTTTAGTGAGAGGTTGGGGGGAGGAAGGAAGAATTACTCCACTAACAAGTAACAAAATTTATGACATTATTACCATTGTTTAAAAAAATCCCAAACACACAATGCTTCACTAAGGTCCCATTCTCTTCAACTTATTTCTCCTACTTATTGCTTATTCTTATTAGAATTAGATCAGATCAGATTTGTTCACATCAGATCCATTAAGATCAGATCAGATCCATTAAAGTAATAATAATAAAAATTACAATAATCACAATAGTAATTATTATCACTAATAATAATAGTAATGAATAATAGTAATTATAATTTATTATTAACTAATAATAATAATTACAACAACAACAACAATAATAGAAACTAATAATAATTTATTATCAATTAATAATAATAATAATTACAATTTTTAAAAATAATAATAATTACAACAAGAATAATAATAATAGTACTTAATAATAACAGTAATACTAAGTAATAATAATAATTAAAATAATAATAATCATTATTATTAACTAATAATAACAATTACAATAATAATAATAATAGTAACTAATTTTATTATCATTATTAATTAATAAATGATAATAATAATTATAAACAGTAATAATAATTTATTATCATTGTACTTGATAATAATAATAGTAAATGTAATTAATAACAATAATAATGACTAAAATGGTAATAATCATTATTATTAATAACTAATAATAATTAATAATAATTAATAATGATAATAAAAATTAATAATGATAATAATCATCATTAATGATAACATGTAATAATAATAATAATAATAATTTATAAGAATAAAAATTATTATTATTATTAAAACAAAATGACTAATAATAATACTATTAATTAATAATTACAATTATAATTATTATTAATAAAATTATTATTGTAAATATTATTAATAATATTTATTAATAATAATTAATAATGAATCATTATTATTATTATAAATTTTCTTATTATTATTACTCTAATTATTTGAAGAATTGAATCCATCCAGATCAGATCAGATTCATTCAAATATGATCAGACCAGCCTTAAAAAAATCAATTCAGATCAGACCAGATCAGCTGAAGAGAACGCAACCTAAGAAAACTACCCAGTAATTTCTGGAAGGAATTGGCCCTATGCCCCTATCTATGATTTACTCCACGAATTACTCTGTTGTCCCCACTTCCCAAGAGGGTTCCTTCCAAGTTACAACATTACATAGGCCAACCCAAGGTCTACTCCTTAGAAGAACTCTCCTCAACTCAAGTTTCACTCCTTTGCCACAACTTTGGTATCATTCCCTAAGTGCCGCCGCAACTCCCTTGTCAATGGACATTTGTCTTCCGTATCCAAGAGATAAAGAAAGCAATGTGGAAGCCCTAAGCCCGTAGCATTGGAATATGCTGATATAAGTCTCATGGATAAGCTGTGCAACTAAACAGTACCTAAATATAATGGGACAAGAGAAAAAATTGTAAATTCGGGGGGTGGGGGAGAAGGGAAGAGGATGGTGGGTCAGGGTCACCGGTAGCGAGCAGTGGTGGTGGCCTGAATTCTTTGTGGCCAAGGAGATGAAGGTTTTTGTATGAGAGTAAACATGTATATTCATATCTGATTTAAAAAGCTGCTTGAAAAGCGGGGTGAATTTATTAATTTAGTGGGTTGTGGCTATCACGTCTCTATGAGTTAAATGCTATCAACTCTGAAACATAGTATGTAAACAGGGCATTGCAGATACCTTCACCCCATGTTTATTACATATGTTTTCAGCAAGAAGAAGAGAGTATGCAGATTGCTTGTCTGCCTTTGATGGATCTGGACAAAAGAAAGTAATGGTATAGTTATAAAACAGTGCATATAAAGTCTAGATAAATCCTCATTTTGTTACCTCCAAGGAGCCATTCTCGATCAGGTATCACAACAATGGAGAATGTAATGTCTTCATCTTTCTTTAAATATTTCTGAATGTTTACAATTGTGTCCTTCAAAGTGTCATAATCCATTGGATTTCCAGTCTGCAGCAGAATTTATAAGATATAAGGAACCATTGAACTGTTGTAATATATGATTGAAGAAGTAGCACCATTTAATTACATTGGAGAAAAAGCAAATACCCTGTGAGAAACTCTCACGTTCCTTAGCTTCCCTTGACCAGCAAGTCTGCTAGCATTATTCCTGTCATCTAATGGAACATATGACAAAACTTCCTGCACATTTTGCAAAAAGATGAGATATGACTTGATTGTTTATATTCGTAGCAATAAAATGACTACTGGTATAGTGATATGCATTTCTAGAGCATCCCTAAATTTGTAAAAAGAGTAATTTATCATGTCGTTGAATTGGATACAACAAAAAAGATTAATCGGTCATACCAAAACACTGCCAGGTCCTAGATAATTGTCATATTCTTCAATCATTTCCACAACATCTGGGCGCCACCCTAGCACTAGTATACACTCTTTTGGTCCCACAGACCAATCTGATGTCTGCACTCAAAAAGGAAATTTAGACATGATGCATGTTCACATATGTTAGGAATGTTACTCAGTCATACTTGACCTTAGATCCAAATCTTGTTCGTTTCACAATGTTCTCAAGGCGTGCTTTTGTAATGTCCTGAATATGATTTAAAAATCTACCATCTTTTGCATTTTCAGTGTCATCCTTAACATATTCGCACTCTTCTATACCACCAGAATAATCAAGTGGTGGAAGCTTTTTCCGTTGTAAGTGTGCAATAAACAGAACCTGCACATGCCAAATATTAGTAGGCTAGTAAAATACGAAAAGATGAAACTATTTGCATTAGGACTAGTTGACATTATCTCGTACAACTTAAGACTAACGTAAGAGCTTACGATTCATACACTTAGTTATGATAGCAATCCCGAGATCCCATAAAAGAACTAGGGAGAAAAAAATCATCAGTTGCATATTAAAGATTGAAACATTTGTTTCTATGAACTTGGAATATTCATGCCATTTCCATAGTTCCAAATATCGCAACCGAGATTTTTACAGTCACCAAGCCAATAACAAAAGGGATTTTTTCAAGAATCAATAAATTGCACATGCACCATCCATTGTGTGTGTTTGTGTGTGTGTGCGCGCGTGTATGGAGCAAAATGAGTCATTATTGACAATGGCTTTGTTAGAGTCTAGTAATCGATATATAAGTTCTTGAGTTGAACAAAATAATCGATTGGATTCAATCTTTTAATGTGGTTCAGCCCAAGTGTCTTATTACCCAATCCAGTTATCCTTACTCCATCATAAATTATATCATGGTATCAGAGCCAGTTTTAGCCCACCTCATTTGTTAAGGTGTCCGTCTAGAAGTTCATTCCTAGCGGCCCCAGTCTTTAACCTAGTTGTCCATGTGAAATGAATATCCAACGGCATGTGGCCTGTTTAACCCGATTGCTCGTCTGGAAGTCCATACCCAGCGGCTCGTGGTCCTTTAGGTGTTGGCGCTCAAAAAAATTGAGGGGGTGGGGGTCCATTTGCATGTGGTCAACCGGTTATATTCAAAATGGCCCGGTCGTCCACTTGAGGAGGAGTGTTAGAGTCTAGTAATCGATATATAAGCTCTTGAGTTGAACTAAGTAATCGATTGGATTCAATCTTTTAATGTGGTTCAACCCAAGTGTCTTATTACCATTGTTGTCAAGTCGTCGCCTAGTCGACGACTAGTCACCGACTAGTCGTCCAGGCGTTTTCTGAATGTCAACTTGCACGTCGACTAGCGACTAGGGTAGACTAGGCGACTGGGCGAGTTAAGCAACACCTAGGAGGCGACGACTAGTCTGTGAAGCAAAACCCGCCCAATTTGATCCAATCCAATATGGCCCAACTTGACCCAAATTTCACTAAATTTTTAAAATTACTTGATAAAACACAACATCCCTCGATCGGTTCAATCAGCAGAATCAAAATCCAATGAATCAATACTAATTGTGATTTGTCGACTAGTCTACAACTAGTAGGCCCACTAGTCGACTAGTTCACTAGTCTCCCCTTCACCGACTCAACTCGACTTGTCGACTTAACAACCATGCTTATTACCCGATCCAGTTATCTTTACCCCATCATAAATTATATCATGCTTCAAGTAAATACCCTGTAGCAATAAACTAAACCAAAATGGCATGTTAAACTTCTCATGCTTCTTACTCACTATAATGTTTATGGTAGTAAATACATCAAGGCCCAAGGGTCTAATGAAATCTTCCTCTCGGTTTTTTTACTTACTGCACCAGATCCCAATGGAGATGGGATTATATCAGTGTTGTTTTTGTTGTAAAATGTAAACTGCACACACAATCACACATCACCAGTTGGAATATGATGTATACCACAAAGGTGAAAGCCCTATGAATTATCTTTGCAATGGCTAACGAAAAGATAAATAAGTAAAATGACAGATATAGGTACATACTTTATCCCTGTGTTGTAATACTTCGTCATCATTTGGGTGAAAATTTATCTTCCCTTCTCGATAGAGACCACAGACAACCACCTAACAAGTTTAATCATTTGTTAAAGATATTAGAGTCTGAAATATAGTTAATATACAGATAGACAATACAATGTTCACAGGAGAACTACCCCTTGAAAACCGCGTCTCAATTGCTTATATCTTAATCCAGCCAGATCAGGGAAACTGCAGAGATTAAATACATTTTCTGCAAGATGAAATGCACTTAATTAGAGCTTTGAACAAGATATAAGAGAACTCTCCCGTGTTTTGTATAACTTGATAATATAGTGGCACAAATGGTTGTGATGAATTACATGGAGCAAGATATTATGTAACTAATGTAAGAGAATCATAAGTTAGAAACACAGTGAACAGAGGCTTCAAATTCAAGTGTGAAAGCACCATATACTCCAATTATGAACTGTAAAAAATAATCTGCTACCAATCATTTTCTAAAGAATATTAGTCGAATGTCAATTCATATATATAAATTGTTCAAATGTTGGATACTTTAGAAGTTTCACGGTCTGGCGTCTGCACCTTGGAACCTCAGTATACAACACTAGCAACTTTAAGACTTACTCCCTTTGTCCCCATTTTAACTTCCCACTTTCCTTTATGGGTTGTACCTAGATAGTGTTCCCATTTCCTTTTTGGAAAGAAGCGTGTAGTTCATATTATTTCTTTCTTCTCTACATAAATCTCAACCACACAATATCACCTTTCTTAAAACGCATGCCAAAACAAACGGAAACAATAAATAGGGAAAGAGAGTATCTGACTAGGAACTACAGAAAACTCAATCTGAATTTTGGCAGTGTTGATAATAATATACACACAAGCACAGCCAAAATAAAGTTGCATTGATAAATTTAGTGAACAAAAAAAATTATAGGAATGAGACTGAAAGCTCCATGTGGTTGTATGTACTGTATGTATATATATCTCCCTCTGTACTCTTATTTTCATATAATTCGTTAAAAGGTCTGCATACATCTAAACTCAAGGATAAATTCATAATTCTTTAATTAGCAAACTTAGTCTCACAGCATCAAGTTTAATGTATTGACAAAGTATACTCATATATGAATGAACACGCTTCTTATAAATATCCGGAGTATTTCACAGTACTTCGATAGTTAAGCAAATGTCTGTATATTTTTATGAGTCCCTTCTGCCTAGAGCACTGAACAAATAACTTGGACGTAACATTTTGTACAGGGTGTACTTTCAATCCTGAAATAGATTTTAAAAGTTCACAAGTATTGGAACTTGAAACCTGCACGCATTAAAGGCAGCAACTAGTGAGCTGTTTCCTAATGATAAGGGATATATGGGGTAAAAATGATAGCCATTTACCTCAACTATTGTGGGCACAGAGGCCATCTCTGGAAGGGGTTGGAGGGCAAGTACTGACAGAAATGCATCAGTATCAATTTCGTACCTACGCCAGTCAAGAATATCCAAACAATTAAAATGAAAAGCACTGCAAATATGGAATTTGCTGGTAAGATGCATCACTTCTGGCTTGTATCAAAGCTTATCACTCTGTCCACAAACTTTTAAAAATTTCACCCAAAAGTAGACATTGTTTAAGATCTGATATAATTTTCCAAAAAATTGTTACAAAACAATTAAATATGATACATTTAGCAAAACCAAGACGAGAACATTAGCCGAGTGCCTCAAACGCTCCCACCCATTGCAGGATAAGAGGGGGGTCAAATCTCCGCAATCTGGCCCCTATGTTTAAAACATAGATTGGTTGGTTCCCCGTGGGCCGTGACCCATAATGAGTGTCAAAATTTGGATTACCTAAATGCTACTTCACTATTTAAAAAAACCCTAAAACAAGTGCAAACAGTTTAATGAGCCATTTTGCTTTATTCCATCATACCCCAAATCCAAAAACAATAGTGAATCTTTTGCCCCATCAGAGATGATGGAAATATTTAGCAAAACTAAGAAACAGATTTTAAATATACAAGTACGATTCAAAAAAAAGTACGATTCATGAGTTTTAGTAGTTACATCTTTCTAAAAATATGAAAGCTGTACCTTGACCAAATATGATTCATTTTTGGATAGAGGGATTCTGTTTTTTAAAAGTTGTTTCTTCTAAACATATTTGTAGCTCTTTTATCTCGGGTTGGCAGCTCGTTTCTTGAAAAATACTACTCCTTCCGTCCATAAATAAAGTTCCCGTTGGGCGTTACGATGTTTGACCGAATTTATTTTCAAATTATTTTATATGAAAAATGGTTTGGAATTAAAAAAATCAAAATTATATATTTAAAAACTACATGAAAAGATCTACAAAACTAAAGGTGACATGACTATATTATTTTATGAAATAGAAAATGAAAATAGGCCAACAAAGTAAATAAAGTTTGACTCTGTAAATTGTGAACATAAACTTTATTGTTGGACGGAGGAGTACTAATATATCGAGTTCCCTTTATCTGTCGGTATTTCCAACTAAAAACTATACATCTATATTGGCTTTTGTCATCTTTTTTCAAGAAGAGACCAAAGAATTTCTAATTGAATACAACTTATTACTCCCTCCGTCCCACTGTGTTTGTCTCATTTACTACTATTCAGTATTCACAGCTCAATCTAAATCTGCTTTCTTAACATATTTTCATCTATCAATTGTTAAAAAAATATATTCATATCACCTCTTGTTTTGCAGAACTTTTAATATAGTTTTTAAATATGTAATTTTATTTTTTTTTAACTATACACCAATTTTTAGAAAAAACCCATCAAACAAAAGTTTCAGCCATACATCACAAACAGAAAAGGGACAAAAATAGGAGGGAGTATCATTCTGAGATATGCACATGTGAAAGGAAGTAGTGTAAATCTCAGGTAGTTCAGATCCATTAAATTCTTACCGATCTCCTTTTGTTGGCAATATAACAATTGCACGTGCATTATTTGCTGCGGCTCTTTCAAATGATCTTGTCAAACTTAGACTGCAACTGTGGAAGCATATCGTAGATGAACGAGCATTCAGACTCAGAATTAGGGTCACTGTCTAATCAGACAAACTCATTTGCACACAAGTTGAAGAGCTAAATTAGTAGGAACATGCATTGGGTTAATCCGAATATAATCCTTTCCACATTTTCCCTCCTTAGGCCTTCTTCCAATAAAGAAAAGGTTAGGAAATGCCACTGAGCTAGTGAGCTGGGAATAATAAAGAGAAGTATCTTTTTCATTATACATGGAGAAGGACGTGGAAAGTGGAAACTCATGCTTGGAACAAACATAAGAAACTGAAAGGACTTGAAGTATTATCAGCTTCTAATAAATTTGAATAGCTTCGTATTTGCATGATTTGTTTTTACATGTTGAGGGACAGGTGATGAGAATGACCGATAGAAAACTATCAGAGTATCAAGTTTTCAGAGGGAGAGGTGATGAGAATGACTGATAGCAAACTATCATAGTAATACATTTTCTTCAGTTTAGTTCCTCTTAGTGAAAAAAAGGAACCATTTTTCAAGTATCCAATCAGTTGGATCTTAACAGAAAATAAGCATCCAAAGAAGTAGAAGAAATTTGCTCATTAGATTATAATCCATGTACCCTTGGCTAAAAAAGCTCTATAAGTGTTTGAAGATATAGAACCCCTACAGTTTGATGAGTCTTGAGAGTGAGTTTGGCTTATAAACAAGGTAGTGTTTAGTAAAAAATATAATTGATACGGATAAGATAGGCTGATGAGCCAAACACATGTTACCAAAGAGCATTGGTTGGATTAAACGTCTTGGCTAGGGTTTGTTAACAATAGTAATAGAAACCTTAGGTCGAACCATTAAACTTAGGGTTGTTACATCACTTTAGTCCTTAATTTAGAAGATGCCAAGGATGTTAGTAAAAAGTTTATTCCAATAAAGACATCGCAAAATGAATTGAAAGCCTAGATCTAAAAATTATCTAACAAGCCTACCCCGACATTAAAGAATCTGATTAGGCTGAGTTATCTACAATTATATATGCAATATACATTTGTATTAAATTATAACAATGATATCTAAAAGGTGTTGATATATGTGTCAGTCAGGGTGAAAGTTGGGTAGTAAACTTGTACTCTCTTATAGTTCATGGAGCAACTAAAGCTATTTAGCTATGACTGAAGGGGTAAAATACTGTGTTCAACACTTCTAAATTCTAATATATGGAGTACCTTTTTGTAAGAATATCAATATGATTGAGATCTTTTGCCATGCTCTCAGCCATTTTGTCCATCTGCCTTCTAGGAAGATCAGATAAAAGAAGGATTCGCTGTCGTCTAGAAACAAGTGCAAGAAGATATAATACATGCGGCACTCTACAAACGTGTTATTGCATGATATATGTGCAAACTTATTACCTAGCTGTAGCAGTACCTAATCGAACAGCAAATTCGTGATAATTATTTAGCTGTTTTAAGATGAATGCCAAACGACTATTAACTCCACAGACAACAATATGATCGGTTTCCAAAACTTGCATCTGTGCTCCCTCCCTAAGTTTTTGCATGTTATCCTGAAAGGCTTGTCAGGGAAAATACTGTCTAATTTTAAACATCAGGAAAAGTAGCATCTCCCAAGAATTTACCCTGAACTGTTCCGTCATTGTGCTTAGAAGGCGAGAATAGAACAAAATGCCCCATACAGCAAGCACAAAGCCAATCACACGTTCAATCCTTGTTCTTTGCTGCAATAAGTACAAGTGCTTTTCAGTAGTGAACTAGTCATACAACTGTAATAGTTAGGTTCTGATCATTTGTTTGCAATCAGAAATTCAGAACTCAAACTTTCACATAATATAAAGGGTAAAAGCATAAAATGACAATAAACCACACCTTCAGATGAGTAGATGATGAACACAGGCATGCCCAAGCTTCCCAAAAGCAATCCTCAAGAGAATGTGCATTGTTCCTGCATTTATCCATAGTAAATATTTAGTTAGAAAAGACATTTGAAAAGTGGTTTTTTAGATTTTAGATAACAAGCTAATTACCAGCTATGTTACTATGAAAAGGGGTTCCATGTAAAACACTTAAGCCAAATAGTTCTTCACGGCTTTACATATACAAATGCATATGAATACAAATTAACACAATACCCATAGCCATGACTGAAAAGATTGGACTAACATTCCATACCTGAACTTAAAAAAGAGGAAACCGCCAATCAGAACAAATAAGAAGCATGAGGCAAGAAGAACAACAAAAAACCTGCATAAATCCAGAGAAAATAATCCATTCATGTTATTCTTGAAAACAGGGAAGAATAACTACATGCCACTGGGGTCTGGGGCACTGAGCATAGGGCACACACACATATGTTCAAAATGCACCAGTAATACGTGTACAAGCAAATAAAAAGCTAATAAGTCCTATAAAGTGCACACGCCATAGAAAGATGATGCATGATCACTTTCTAACTTACATGGCAACATTTTTCTCAAGTTGTATGTTGAACAAATATATTAGCCTTGCAAAACTCCATTTGATATCTTTCAGTGAAGGAAAGACCACATCCAACCCAAGCGGTGTTGGTTTGTTCAAGTTATTAGACATACACGCAAAAGGAGAACTCTGTGCACCAAGCGCTTGAACTGTATGGAAGACAAGTTTGTGGAGTGCAGTTGTCTTCATATTTGTGGAAACTAGTGGCATCAATCTACTAGTGACATATGACAATGCAGCTTCTGTTTGTCTTTCTAGTGAACCCTGTGCTTTTGGAACACATTAAAAAGCATAAACACCAAACACTAATGAATAATTGTTACAGAAAAAAATAGATTTTTCCTAGTGGATGACTTACGAGTTAGGCTGCATTCTGTTCCGCTTATTTTTCCTAGTTATTATTATTCTTATTAAAGATAAGATCCGATCAGATCCATGCATCAAATCAGATCAGATCATATCCGTTCACATCAGATATAATCAAATCAATCCATAAAAATGTTGAAAAATAATGCTATTATACGATTAAATCATGTTAGCACGATTTCTAACACGATTAGCACAAATTGTACAAATGTTAAAATTATTGTAACATAACATTCATATTTTCCAATGATTGGTTATTATCATTGATTGTCTTCTTCTACAACTTTAAAATATTATTGAATTGAATCTTGTGTTTCATAAAAGAAATAAATCTAGAACAAAAGTTATTGGGTGTATTATATATTGATGAATTAATTAATAATTATATGAATGATCATCAAAATGTTAAATCATACTATAATTATACTATAATAATAATTTTAACATTAATTTGAATCAGATCAGATTAGATCCATTTAGATTAGATTTAGATGAGATCCAATCAAATCGAATCCATTGAGATCGGAATTAATCACATCAGATGAACAGAATGCAACCTTCACTACACTAGTTTCAAATCTTTCAATAGAGAGCACCATTGCCTTGCAAACCTGAGAAATACTACTAAGATGAAATCTACTTGGTGCAGCATTGAGATATCCTAATGTGCTTGTAGTCAGCAACCAGTCCAACCTTCGGCATTTAATCTGACAATTGATATTGGTTATCCCTAGTAAAACAAAGTTACAATGACTTAGAAACAGCATAGCAACTGAGAAGGGCAATAAAGATCTCTCTCTCTCTCTCTCTCTCTCTCCCCATGTAATAACTCGTGAACCTATCAAAACAACGAAGGTTCCACATACATTTACAGAAGAAAATATAACGTATCTATGAAATAAAGTATATTTTTGCAAAAAAGTACACTTCTTTATATTTAAAAAAACTACATCTTTGCAAGGGTATCAGCAGCAAAACATTCATCGTAAAGTACTACTCTATATACACCAGTGTGCATCATATGGGCATAGAAATAGTAGCCAATTGTAAATGTATCATACCCACATTGATTGTGTAACACTCACCACTTTTGTCTATTGATGAGTATGTCCTCCATGAAGCTGGATAAGGGTTGCACAAACAGGGGCATGCCAATGATTTTCTGGAAAAAAGTTATGGTAATCATGATAGAAGAGCACCCATTATCTCTTATCCCCTATCTTTTTCAGTTAGGGTACGTTTGGAATCCTGAAAATACTAGGGAAACAAAGTATGTAGGAAAACATATATGAAATTAAGGAATGAAAACGTGGGAAAATAAAAGATAAGCTTAAAATCAATTAATTTATTTTAGATATTTATTGATACTCAATGAATTTATTTATAACTTTATATCTATTAAATAACTAGCAATAAGGTTGAACTCATTTAAATTTTAAAAGAGCTGATTATATTATGTTTTCCTTTGCATTTTCCAAAAGTTAAACCAAACATCACAAACACACTTTCCAAAGAACTTTCCCACTTTAGCATTTCTAGTGATCCAAATATATCTTTAATATAATAGGAAAGAAATAATTAAAGACATGTCTTAAAAAATTTACAACTCAGACAACAGTTGGAAATTGAAATACAGCTGAAACAAATTAACAGCAATGCAATTTCCAGGATTAGCATATAGCAGAAGATGAAATTTGCTAATCGCGGGATTTTAACAGCAAACTGCTGAAAATACACATAAATTGTATTTGATCATAATGCATAAATATGCAATAAAAATGCTTCTATCAAAATCTGTATAGAACTGGCAAGTGACAACCTCAACAAGACAAAGATGTGTCTTTCTTCCACCACTACACCACACATTTCGCGATTTCTAATTTCTCTAAATCCAATTCAGAACTTATTTGTACAAAAAAAACTACAAATAAACACACCAAGACAGACACATATTTGGTCATCATATGCATGCAATGGTCTTGCATGAAATCTTTGAAGATGAATAAAGAGCAGAATCGGCTAACCTCGTACAAGGGGAGACATGATAGAACCTTGGGATTAGTGGTGTGAGAATCTGTGTCATGGAGGGGCAATTCAACTGAATCATTCCTCTGTTCCACCGTTCCCCCGTCTGTCTCGAAGCAAGGTCAATAAAAAAAGAGAGGCAGAAAATCGATTAAGTGTTTTAAATCAATATTCAGGGACAAATGAAGTTTGAGTTTTTTCCAGTAATTAAGAAAGAAAGAAGAAGAAAGATATGGAGTATGTAGTTTGGACATAGAAGAAAAAAGGAATAATGGGATAATTATTTTATAAAAGGCTGAATAGAAACTTTATTTTGGATCTCTTTGTCTCAAGTTCTCACTTATTTGAATAGACTCGATCTTCTTTTTGAACTATTAATTCTTGCCTTGCGTACCACGATTATTGAGATTTTATAAAATAAAATAAAATATATAGCAATCTAAAAAATGTTAATGAATATTTAATGTATAACAAGTTAATGTGATGGATATGTTGGACCCAGGCCTACACTCCATGGTCCTATATCCTCTGCCCACCATCTTAGCCCGCTTCCTAGACCTTGTAAGGGGTCCAACGCATCAGCAAGTTAGGCTAGATATAAATAATTAATTGGTAGTGCATGTTAGGCTGTACCCTAACACCACACCATTATTTGGCTTATTATCCTTGTTTAGGCTGGTCCTTTTATCATATATGTGTGTTCTATTTATACCTTATCATGTCTTAGAGAGGGGGATTCCATCATTATCCATTGCTCATCTCTATAAATTATCTTTCCCTTTCTTTCTACCTCGCTCCATGAATTCTACAATTCATCAGTATGTTTGTCTGCTAGTTAAATAAGATACCATGTGAATATGTTATGGATGTTAAATCCAGTGCCAGTCCGAAACACATAACGACCCTGTGCAAAATAAAAAATGTGGCCCTATCGTACTTCATACTTGCAAAACTTAAATCAGCTTCATATTAATTTTAATATTTCTTACAATTTCTATTAGATGCAAAATCAACTCTACATATTTAGAAGCAAAATCATTATTTAAACTATTAATTTCTATTCCTTCTAAACTATCACATTCAATTCATATCAAAGTTAATCTGTTATATGTAAGGTTTTCAAGTCTCCTTTTCTTTTTACGTTTTTCATGGCCCCTTACCATTTCTTAGGGTCCATAAGTACAATAATCTTTAAAAATTATGAGAATAAATAAATAAACATGGAGTCAATTAAACAAAAGAGGGAAGAGGGCAAGGCTGGGCTGGGATCCTCTGTCCCCTAATGGTGTCCCAACTCCATGTCCCAATAATTAAAACTTGACACCTAACTCACCCACCCCTCATTTAGCACTAACTAACCTTAGGGGTAGGATATGGGAGCATATTTACATGGGTGGGGTGGATTAGGTGTCATGTTTTCATTGGTAGGCAGGGAGTTGGGACACCATTTGGGGACAAAGGATCCCGGCCCGACAAGGCTCTTTTTCTCTTTACGTTTTTCATGGCCCGATACCGAAGTTTTTTTTAAATTAAAACTAGAGTTAATTCCATAATTGGTCATTTATAACAGGAGGGTTTCCATATTTAGTCCTCTATTATCAAATATTACTCCCGTAGTCCTTCTTTCCATAAATGGTCCTTTTTTAATCTTCTTCCATGTTGGTGTTAGTTTAAAGGCCAAAAGTATAATTTGATCTCAACCTTATGCCCAATGACGTATTTTGATATTGGGTTAGACGAATAACACAAAATAATGACTATGATTGTGAGCTAGGATTCTGACGAAAGACCACATTGTAGACTATGGTTGTAGTAGAAAGCGACTGTAATTCACAAACAATGCATCAAGAGCGACCTTTAGAATTGTTTATGACAAGAAAGATATAATATCATTGTGAAATTAAACTTTTAGCCTTCAAATTAACATGACAATTTGTGGAAAGATACCCATAAAAGAAAGACCAGGGTGGTAATATTTGATAATAGAGGACTAAATACGGAAACCCCCGTAATATAAAGGACCAGTTATGGAATTTATTCTTAAAACTAAAAGCACTATTGACTATTGTTATTGATTAGTAATAAACACTTCTCTGTTCATTTGTGAAAAAAACAAGCTAATATTCTAATAACCAATAACACCATTCATCTAATAATTGTGAACGAGACATTCATCGATTTCATTCAAAAACGAAATTGGAAAATTCGAAAAAATAGAGCATTCAAATCATTCTATAGTTCCGAAAAAGAAGAAAAGATTAACACTATGTTTGGTTTAAGGAATTTGAGAGGGAAAGGAAAAGAAAATGAGAAGGAAAACTTTTTTTCTTGTTTGGTTAGAGAGGAAAACAAAAGAAAAGTGGAAGGAAAAGAAAATGAGAAAGCAAAATGTATTAAGAGGATGGAAAACCAAATTCCTCCCATTTTGGTATTTTGGTGAGGAAACTAAGGGAAAACCATTTTCTTTTCTTTTCCTTGCACATTCCATGAACCAAACATAGTGTAAAGAAATCAAACCTGAAAGTTGGAGAATCGCAGATTGAAATCTCACACTATGATTTTCTTTTTTTTTTTAGTTTTGGTCTGCTGCAGCGCGCTGGCTTCTCGTTCTCGCTTCTTCTCAGCGCCCTTTCGCTACTCGCTGCCCGCTTCTCGTTGCTTTTGGTAGAAGTCACATTGAAGTGTTATTCATGCGACGACACAATGCAGGAGACACGTTGTTTTTGTTATGTTGATGCTGCGTTATTCTCGAGTACTCGAGTACGGTTGGCTTTGGATGCTTTTCAAGTGGCGGTTAAAAGTTAACCATTTAGAGCCAGGAAAAAAAGACCTACATTTTGGAAGAAATTGGAAAAAATTTGAAAAAAATGAGAAAAAACTGGAAGAAATTGGAAGGAATTGGAAGAACTGGAAGGACTAGAATAAACTGAAAAAAATTGGAAGAAACTGGAAGTTAAGAACCCAAACCCAAAAGAATGGCAAATTATATTATACATCCAGCTGTACCTTCTTTTAGATTCAGCCTGGTATTTTTGTAATTTTTGTAAATTTTTTGTCTCTTACTCCGGTTCTTTTCCACTGTTCTCTTTCCCCTTTTTCTTCATCGCTCTTCTTCTTCCGCCTCTTTTCTTCATATTCTTCTGTGTCTTTCTTCACTCATCTCCTGCAGCTCTTCCTTTTTCTTTCGTCGCTCTCTCACATGGAAGTAGATATTCATCTTCTTGGTCATCTGAGTTTCGGTCCCTTCAATCTAAATTTTCAGGTGATAATTTTTTGGGCATTAATTATCAAAATTTGCAGTGTTCTTCATACTCGAATTTAGCAATCTGAATCTCCAACAGAAATTTTTTCCCAATTCCAATTTTAATTCACATCTTTCATTTTTCAGATTTTATATGAAGGATAATTAATAGAAGCAATTGAGAGTTGTGAAGAAATTGTAAACTTCCCAACCCCAACCCCTTCTAGTAATTTTCCTAAATTTTGTATATTATTTTCTACTTTGTAAATGCATTCCCTCTGTTCATATTCCCTCTGTTCATATTCCCTCTGCTCTTATTTGATACTTTTTTAATTTTTTAGCTGGGTGTAATGTACCTGATTTTCAACATACATCTCTGGTGTTATCTAATGATGACTTGATAGATTCTACCATTCTTGTTCAAGAGGCAGAAACATCAGAATTAATTGGCAAAAAAGTAAATTAAGAGAAAGAGGCATTTGATTTGTATAATGAATATGCATTTAGGATTGGATTTGGTATTCATTATTCAACTTTAAAGAAAGGTCATAATGGTTTGAATATCAAGGGGAGAGAGTTTTGTTGTAATAAAGAAGGTAAAAAAGATCATAGGTGCTTTTGGTAAAAAATTCACCAAAATTGATCATATCGACGCACTGGTTGTCAAGCTAAGGTTTACTTTGAATTGAAGGGTAATGGTGATTGGGTTGTAGTTAGACATTTGATGGAACACAATCATTCGTTTTGCCCTTCTTCATTGGTTTACCATGTAAGATCACATAGAGATATTTTTCAAGATCAGCTGTCATATCGTAATCTTTTAAAACAACAAGGGGTTAAAGTTGCTGATGCATTTTGTTGTTTAAGGACAGAAGCTGGGGGGTCACCTGCGGTTGGTTTTGAATTGAGAGATGTTTATAACAATTTGGCAAAAGAGGCTAAAAGGTGCTTTGATGGTACAGATGCGAATACTTTAGTTAAGTATTTTAGGCAACAACAAAGAAATGAGGAAGATTTTTTCTTTGCCTTTGAGGTTGATTTTGAAGGATCATTGGTTAGTTTTTTTTGGAGGGACAAGCAAATGAAGGAAGATTATTGTTTATTTGGTGACTTGATTGTGCATGATACAACTTATCGTACAAACAAATATGAAATGATTTGTGGGCCATTTGTTGGGGTTAACAACCACACTCATAACTGTATGTTTGGTTGTGGGTTTTTATTGAATGAAAGAATTGAATCTTTTGAGTGGTTGTTTTACACTTTTCTAGAAGCAATGGGTGGGTTGCATCCTAAGACTATTATGACTGACCAGTCTTTTGCAATGTCATCTGCAATTTCTTCAGTATTTCCTAATTCCAAACAATGTCTATGTGTATGGCACATTTCTAAAAAGTCTAAGAAGCATATAAGGGATTTGAGGAACCAGGATGGTTTTTTGGATCTATTCGATCATGTTCTGAAACTTTGTCATACCATTCCTGAGTTTGACTATTACTGGAATAGGTATGTTCATTTGGTATTGTCTTTTGTATCTTATGTGAATTCTTTTATTATATATTATTGTCATTTTCATTATAAATTTTATTCTTTTTCCAAGTTAGTTACAGAGTATTCGTGTATGAATAATGATTGGTTAAAGAAGCTTTATAACCTTCGAGAGAAGTGGTGCCTAGCATTTTCAAAGGATTATTTTTCTGCTGGTATTTGTTATTCCCAACGTAATGAGTCACCCAATCATGCCTTGTCTAGGAAAGTAAGTGTAACTGCTACTCTATGTGATTTTTATCATTTCTTCTATGAAACTGTGAGTGAATGGCGTAGTCATGAGAGGAGTGATAATGAACGATGTTGGGAGGGATTTCTAGAAATTGCTATTCCACATGTGAGTCTACTCTATCGAGCCTCAATGGCTTGTTCTTCATTTCTAGAAATATTTAATCTTGGTTTGGAATAACATAAAATGATACAAAAATCAAAATATTACAAATTTTATTAAAATTGCGCAAAATAAGATATTGTACAGCAAGGACTGTAGATGCACGACCAATGATTTATTTAAAAATTAATAATTATGAAAATTTATTAAAATAAATATTTTATATATTTCAGACACCTTATAGATTCTAATTGGGAAATATTTTTGTTATAATATAATTAAATATAAGAATAACTTGAAAGGAATGAAAAAATAAACAAAGCTTAAATGTTTTGGAATGCTGGTTTGTATTCAACATTTGCAAGTTTGTTATGGTCACTCCAAATTAAAAATAGTCACACATGTTTAATAGATTTGTCTTTGCTTTTATTAATACAAATGAGACGGGAAATTCTTTGCACGCACGTCTTGTCTTTGATTCTTGTAGCTTTGTCTCCTATCTATGAATAATTATTATACGCTTATAACACCAAGAATATCATAACTCAAAAACATTAAAAACTACTCCCTCCGTCCCCCTAAGATGTTCTCATTTTGACTTTTGGTGGTTTTTAAGGAGAGTTGAAAAAAGATGGAAGTTTACCATAGTACCCTTAATGAAAATGGGTGGAGTGTATTAAATGAGGTGGGTGAGGTCTAATAAATAAAGTAAGTGGGGGTAGTTGTGGTATTTTAATGGTTAAAAAATGAAATGAGAAGATCTATTGTGGACAAAAAAGGGCTATTGGGAAGATCTATGGGGGACGGAGGGAGTATCTTATATTGTAAAAGATGATAATTATATTCCAACATTTAATAACTAAACAATTCCAAACATGAAATAATGCATGCCTTCAACAACCGAAGATTGAAAACAAAGTGCAACATTCAATCAGTTCAAATACAGCTAAAAAGTTTGGACACACTCTAAAAAGCTCCACCATAAAATATTGGAAAAAAAAAAGCTCCAAGGCATTTCGTAATATAAGGAACATCAGGTCAATGGCTCTACTTTGATGGCACTCTAACGAAATCGTCTACTGACCATTTTTTATGGATCTTTCAACCTTGGGTTTCTTTAAGCATCAATGTTGCCTTTCTCCAATCTTCAAATGATCATTTAAAACAATCTGTGGTATTAGAAAGGGTGCAACTCTATTTTGACCCTCATTTTCCAGCCTCTCCATATGATAGGCCCATTAATTAGGTAGTGACCCGGCCCAATCTAATTAAAAGTAAAAAAAATCTTAAAGGGTGCAACTCTATTTTAGCCATATAATCTTATGAAATACATAAATAATCCTAGAAAAATCTAACTGTAGAATAATAAAGCTAAATAATGAGTCTAGAATTTGTACTTTCAATGGATGATTACTTACTGGTGCAAAACAAAAATAGGATATTCTCCATTTGCAACCTGCATTCATCTAAGTACAAAGATTACATAAAGCAATTTGGCATTGAGCCAAAGAATAGCACGCTCCATGTTGAGACTTGAGGCCCTCTAGGAATCTAGAAGACATTCACAACACATTTAAAGCGGATTACCAAGAGGAATATTACTTATTTTTTACACATAAACCCACTAATAAATATCCAATTCTTTTGAAAAGAAAACAAAAAAAGAAAAAAATATCATGAATAAGTAAGCCCAAGTAAGATAACATTATAATCATAAAGAGAGAAGGAAGCTTCTAAGATCTTACTAGCAATAAGAAGTCCCAAATTGTGTTGATAGTTTTTTCATTCAAGTGAAAACGTGAATACACACACAAAGCTTTAATGATCGCAGGATTGAAAACCAAGTTTTCATTGTGATAATTTGCTCCATATATGCTTAAGTACACCATTATCATTGAAAGCCTAATATATACTCACTACCATGCCCAATTTGTTATTTAGAAAATATTATTTTATTTTCAAAAAATAAATATTTTATGTAAATCTCACGTACATAAGCACATATGTGTGTTTTTGTTTCTATGTATTCATGTCACAACAACAAAACTGCTACTCACACTATGTCCCTTGACATATTAGAATGAGTACTAGCGCACAAAATAATGAACATATATATATATATATATATATATATATATATATATATATATGAACTTTCCATTCAACTTCAAACAAAAAGCACCACTGGTGAAACTACTATCCATTTCTCAAACCCAAAAGTACATAACATCTGGTAACCACATCAGTTTTCTTAACAGTAATATAACCATAACACTAATATAACCACATCACTTTTCATCAAAATTAAATTCAGTTATCCATAGCACTAATATAACCACACACAAAAACGTTGTCTTCATCATATCCTTCAACATCAGTTTTCAACATTAGTCTTTTTCCTCCTGTTTTCCC